GTGGTGGCAAGGACCATGACTCCTACCAGTACAAAATGGACCCTCACTGTGTTAATTGTAGTGGTTCCCACCCCTCTTACATTAAGTCTTGCCCTAAGTGGGTGGAGGAGAAAGAGGTACAGCGTTTGAAGACTCTTAATAACATCTCTTATCCTGAGGTGCGGAAGCTATTGTTCCCTCCTACATCTCGGACCTATGCCTCTGCACTACACTCCACTGCTACAGTGGGAGTGCAGATGGACCTTTCCGTGCCTCTATCTGAGTCTTTTTCATGCCATGTGCGGGGTCTTCTGCCATCCATAGATAATAGAGTCGATAGATCTACATCTACTCCAACCTCTGGCCCCACTGTTCCTTCCAGTGACTGCCTGGGTCAACCTCCTCGGGCACCAGCCTCTGGTGTCCATGCGGGCCCTTCTTTGGCCCCTAAATGCAGGACGATTATTCGATCACGTCCTCAGTCATTGGATTCTCACTCTGATGACAGAGATCTGCCCGCTCGTTCAAGGGCAGGATCCATGGAGGTCGATGGACCTCCATCTAGTAAAGAAAAACGGCGTGGTCGTAAACCGAAGGGTTCTCCACCCTGTTCTCCTAAACCTACATAAAAATGGCCACTTTGCTACAGTGGAACTGTCAAGGTTTTCGTTCTAATCTCGATGATATTAAGGCCTTGATTGACTCCTATCATCCCGCGTGTCTCTGAAACCTGCCGATACACTCACCCTTTGGCAGTTTTCTTTGTACCGGAATGACAGGTTGTGTGATGGGCAGGTACACGGAGGGGTGGCACTGCTGGTCGACCATACGTGTTTCCTTTGGTTGTGCCATCACTGCTTGTTCTCTCTAACTGTCTCTTGGGGAACTTATGATCAATCGGACCTTGATGCTCTCGTTGAACAGTTGCCACCTTCCCTTTTTACTTCTGGGAGACTTAAATGGACACAACCCCCTCTGGGTGGTGCTGATATTGATGGGAGGGGTCATTCCATAGAGCACATGCTCTCGGATCAC